GTAGAAGATATCAGAACATCTTTAAAGACTAAAGAAAAAAAATGCCATCAGTCTACACTTCTGTATCTAGTGAAAATACTCTTTAAAAAAACCAAGCATTTTCAAATACACTTAAGCTGAGAGAATTTGTTTCCTACAGATATGCATCATAAGAAATATTAGAGAATGTTCTTCAGGCAGAAGGAAAATGATACCAGATGGAAACTTGGATGTACACATAGGAATGAAGAACAGTGGAAAGGGGAAACAGAAAATAATTTTTCTTATTTAAAGAATTTTTTAAAAAAGGTAATTGACTAAAAGCAAAATAAACCTTCCTGGCCGGTGTGGTTCAGTGGATTGAGCGTGGTCCCATGGACTGAGAGGTCCCAGTCCAATTCCCGGTCAGGGCATGTGCCTGGGGTTTCCAGCTTGATCCCTTGTCGGGGGCGTGCAGGAGGCAGCTGGTGGATGTTTCTCACATCGATGTTTCTCTCTCTCTCTCTCTCCCTTTCTTTCTTCTAAAAATATCAATAAGAACATATTAAAAAAATAAAAGCAAAATAAACCTTGTATTATGGAGCTTGCAACATATCTAGATGTAAGAAGTAGGACAGCAATAGCATGAACGTTTGGAGAGGAGAAAAAAAAAAACCAACATTTCCTTGACACTTTTTCAGATTGATTGGCTATATGACTGTGTTCCGGGAAAATGTGATTTGAACAGAAGTGGTGTATGCAATTCTCAGGAGACAGAAAGAGAGAAGGCATGTCTTTTTATTTTCTCCTCCCCCCCCCCCCCCCCCCGCCCGCTTCCTGCCTGCAATTCTGGCTGGCGCTCCAGAAACTATCTTGAACCAAAAGGGTGACCTTTGGATATTGGACAGTGATTTTTCCTTACTTGGATAATGAAAGAGCAACAAGATCTAAGGAGCCTGGTTGTCCGACACCATGAATTGCCAGATAAAACCTGGATTGAGCCTTTTGGATATTTTTCAATGAAAAAAATAACTTATCTTGTTAAACTACTATTATTTGGAGGTTTTCTCCAACCCAGAGCTGAAATGTAATTCTAACTAATATGGCTAGTTATTTGAAAAAGTAATGCAGTTGGTAAATCTCTGACAAGATTATCTTTTTTAAAAAAAGAGAAGGTCCTGGCCATGTAGCTCAGTTGGTTAGAGTATCATCCTGATATGCCAAGGTTGCGGGTCAGGGCACATACATGAATCAACCAATGAATGCATAAATAAAGGGAACAACAAATCATTCTCTCTCTCTCTCTCTCTCTCTCTCTCTCTCTCTCTCTCTCTCTCCCTCTCCCTCCCTTCCTCCCTCTAGAATAAAAAAATAAAGCCCTGGTTGGTTTGGCTCAAAGGTTAGAGTGTTGGCCTGAGGACTGAAGGGTCACAAGTTTGATTCCTGGTCAAGGTCACATACTTGGGCTGCAGGTTTGATCCCCAGCCCTGATTGAGGTCTTGTGGGAGGCAACCAATCTATGTTTCTCTCTCTTCCTTCCTCCCTTCCACTCTCTCTAAAAAAAAAAAAAAAAAAAAATCAATGGAAAAATATCTTTGGGTTAGGATTAACAAAACAAAAGAAAATTTAAAAAATTAAGCAAAAAGAAGAGAAGACACATAAATAATATGCAGATTTTAAAAGGGGACATAACCATAAATACAGCAAAAGTTACAAAGATAATAAGAGACTTTGAGAAACCTTATAGCAATAATTTTCACATGCAGAAAAAAAATAAATTCTAGAAAAAAATCACCAAAACTAAGTAAAAAAAAAAAAGCAGGCTCAAGACAAATACTTGTACACAAATGTTCATAATGGCTTTATTCACAATAGTCAAAAAGTTAAAACAATCAGAATGTCCACTGACAAATGAATGTGGTCTATCCATACAATGAAATATTATTCAGCCTTAAAAAGAAATGAAATTCTGACACATGCTAAAACATAGATGTACCTTGAAGGCATTATGCTAAGTGAAATAAGCCAGGCAGAAGGATAAATATTGTATGGTTCCTCTTATATAAGGTACCAAGAATGGTCAAAGTCACAGAGACAGAAAGCAGAATAGAGATAACCAAGGACTGGAGGCAAGGAGGAAACTGGGCATTATTGTTTAATGGACAGTTTCTGTTCGGGAAGATGAAAAAGTTCTAGAGATGGATGGTGATATTGCACAACAGTGTGAATGTATTTAATACCACTGAACTATACACTTAAAAATGGTTACAATGGTAAATTTTGTTATATATATTTTACCAGAATAAAAAAATTTTTTTTTCTTTTTAGGTGTTTTGGAGAAGGAGAAATTTTCATAGTATAGCTAGGCTTCCATGTTGCTGGAAATGGAATGCTGGCTCTGACATTCTTTTTTTAAAATTGATTTTTAGAGAGAAAGGACGAGAGAGAGAGAGAGAGAGAGAGAGAGAGAGAGAGAGAGAGAGAGAGAGAGAAGGGGAGAGGGAGAGAGAGGAAACATTGATGTAAGATCAGCATCCTGCATGGCCCTGTGAGGGATCGGGGATCCACAACCTGGGCATGTGCCCTGACCGGGAATTGAACCGGTGATCTCTCCATGCACGGGACTTCGCCCAACCAACTGAGTCACAGTGGCCAGGGCTGGCTCTGACATTCTAGAACATCTAGGTTGATGATTTCTGCTCTGTTCTTGTTCTATCTTGGCATTTATGTCATGGGAAGAAAGAAAGGCTGCACATATATAATTTTATAACGATCAGCCATTAGGAAGGGCAGGCATAACTTCTGTTCCCAGTAGGAAGCCTGTTAATAAAGAAGAGAGGAGCCCCTGGAACTAAATGACTACACTTTGCCACCAGAAGCAAGCCCTAGCCACTTTCTCACGTGAACTGGCAAGTGTAGTCTGCTCAGGCTTACCAACCAAGTTCAGCTTTCAGAGCTTCTGGTGAGGATGACATTCATTTGGCACCAGGCTGTGAGCAGGGCTCCTGGATGAAACCAGCTCCCACTGTTTGCCTTTCAGAGCCTCTGTCTGCAGAATGCTGTTCTTTCCTGATGGCCCCTGCCTTCAGAATCACCTGAGCCTCAGCAATGCACCAGGAATCCACTTTGCAGCACCGCACATTCCAGATCCCTGTGTAGGGCGGCCGCACCCAGATTCCACACAAAAGCCTCAGCGGACCCAGCTCTTTCCCTACACCCTCCCCACCTTTTTGAGTGTTTGTGTCTCATGACTGAGCCATGTGTCTGCATATGTGTGTGATATCATTGTCCCATATGAGAGGTAGGTTTCTTCTTCTTATTAAAATATTTTTACTTATTGATTTTTAGAGAGAGGGAAAGGGGAAGGAGAGAGGGAGAGAGAGAGAGAAATATCAATTTGTTGTTCCACTCATTTATGCATTCATTGCTTGATTCTTGTTTGTGCCCTGACCAGGGATACAACCCACAATCTTGGGGGTATTGGGACGATACTCTAATCAACTGAGCTACTCTGCCAGGGCTGAAGTAGGTTTCTTCATCCCAAGAACATTTCTGCAACCAGCCTGGTGCCACCTTTGGAAGTAGATACAATGATGGGAGTCTGCCAGTGTGCTCTGTGCACTGTTTCTTCTACAAGAGCAGCTCCAGGCACTCACACTTGACCTCAGGAATCTTCCAAAGGCTTTTGAGCCTCCTCTCCATATGACCCAACCTGCCTGACCTGCTTAATTGCCTCACATTCCCACTGCACTGCAGCCCAGCTGGACTGCTTAACCTCCCCAGCACAGCCCACCTCCTAGGGCCTCTATCTGGGACATTTGTTTTTGTGGGTCCTAGCCACAGCATAATGCCCATCTGTGTTAGAGTTATCCAGAGAAACAGAACTGATAGGATGTGTATATAGCAGATAGTTGGATAGATGGACCTAGATCTATCAATCAATCTATCTATATTTGTCCATCTACAGAGAGATTTATTTTAAAGAATTGGCCCACATTGGGGCTGGTGAGTCTAAAATCTGTAGGACAGGTAGCAGGGTGGAGATCCAGGGAAGAACTGATGTTGAGTTCAAAAGATACCTTTAAATCAAATACAGTTAACTCTTGTTTTTTTAATCCTTACCCGAGGATATTTTTACATTTATCTTCAGAGAGAGTGGGAAGGAGAAAGAGAGAAACATTAATGTGAGAGAGACACATTGATTGGTTGTCACCCGCAGGACTCCAACTGGGGCTGGAGACGAACTGCAACCCAGGTACATGCCCTTGGCCAGAATCGAACCCAGGACTCTTTGGTCCGCAGGCCGACGCTCTAACCACTGAGAAAAACTAGCAAGGGCAATTCTTTTCATTTCTTTATTGATTTTAGAGAGAGAGAAAGGGAGAGGGAGAGAGAGATAGAAACATCAATGAGAGAGAACATGGATTGGCTGCCTCCTGCATGCCCCCTGCTGGGGATTTGGCCCACAACCTGGGCATGTGCCCTGACCGGGAATTGAACCAGCAACCTCTTGGTGCATAAGTTGAGGCTCAACCAGTGAGCCACACCAGCCGGGCTACATTAACTCTTTAAACAGTGCTGGACTCACCCTTTCCTGTCCTTCTTGGGTTGAGGTTCTGTGGCTTTCTCTGACTCTTAAGCCTGTGCCCTTTCTTTGTCCCCATGACTCCCACACAGCCCTCCAGCCCTTTTCTGGACATGCTGATTATTTTTTTCCCCTGATGGCATTCACTTGGACTGATGGGAAAAGTCATGGTTTTGTGAGTCAGGTCCAAGTTCTAATGTAGACTGCTCCTTTCCTTGTTGGTGATATTGAAAAGGTCACTTCAGCTCTCTGAGAATGTCTTCTTGTGAAACGGTGATGTGTGCCCACCTATTTTTTACATTTTTGTTAAATTTATTGGGGTGACATTGGTTAGTAAAATTATATAGATTTCAAGTATATAATTCTATAATGCATCATCTGCATATTGTATTGTATGTTCACCACCCAAAATCAAGTCTCCTTCTGTCATCATTTATTCTCCCTTTACCCTCTTCTAAAAAGTATGAAATGCTTCATGAATTTGCATGTCATCCTTGTGCAGAGGCCATGCTAATCTCTGTATTGTTCTAATTTTAGTGTATGTGCTTTACATGTGCCCCTCTTGTCACATGTCAAGTGCCCAGCACAGATTGGACGCTTCATTTACTTGACTTACTTTTCTCTCCATGACCAGGTGGTACCTCCTCCCCTCACATTGTGAACTTGGATTGGAAGACTCAGTATTGGTGTGTTAATCAGGATTCTCCCGAGAAACAGAACCAATATGATGTGTGCTTATAGAGATGTGTGGGGCCTGGAAAGTCTGAAGTCCACAAGGGAAGCCAGTAGACTGGCAATTCCGGCAAGAGTTGATGCTGCAGTCTGAGGCAGTCTGCGGGAGAGTTCCTTCCTCCTCATGGAACCTCAGTTTTTTCTCTTTGACTTTTTGGATGAGACTCACCGCATTATGGAGGGTGATCTGTTTTACTCAAGTCTACTGACTTAAATATTAACCACATCTAAAAATACCTTCACAGCAACTTCCAGATAGATGCTTGACCAAACAACTGAGTACCATAGCTGGCCAAACTGACATGTAAAATGGAACTTCACACTGTCTTCAAGGTTCACCTTTGATGTTGATGGTGTATAATGGTTGGCATTAGTGAGTATTCACTGCAGACCAGCTATACTGTGCTTAGCACTTTCTTTGGCTTGTTTGATTTAATCCTCATAATAGCCACATAAAGCAGGTTCTATTCTGACTCTCAGTTTATAGAAAAGAGAGCTTAGGTTGAGAGAAGTTAAGTAACTAGCCCAAGGTCGCACAGCAAACTGTGGAGCTCGGGTTTGAAGCCAGGTAGTCCCACTGCAGAGCCTGTTAATTTAGCTTCATACAATCCTGCTGCCTCTTCTAGAATCCTCAAGAGACTCTGCCCCTCCCCTGCACCCTACTGGGACTTGTAGGTCTCTGAGACATTTTCTCTCTTCTGCCCATGTCTTATCCTCATCCCTGCGTGTTGAGAGCAGGTAGAGGGTTTGCTGACTAACTGAAGTCCAGAATTGCATGTGGCCCTGCATCTCTGACTTCCACCTTGAGCCAGTGAGGAAGGAGACTGGCCAGCTCCCTGCCATGTTCTTATCCCACCAGCCAGGGCACTCCTGCCTACATGGATGGCCACCTTTCCTGGCTGGGCACCTCCTGCAAATGGCCCTGTGACCAGAGGCTCAGCTGATAAGGAGCCAGGAGGAAGCCCAACTCTGGGCTCTGGAGTCAAATGAGGTTAGTCCCTTATAGGGCACAATGGCTTGGCTGCAGCAGAGGTGCTTAACACAACTTCCGCCTTCTTGGGATACTTGAGTGGCCCAGGAATGCGATTTTAGGCTGTCCTGGCAACACTGCCTTGGCCCTTTAGGATTAGTGTTCTTTTCCAACCTCCCTGAATCTCAGGAGCCATTGATTTTGTGAGCCTGGCTCAGTGCTGTACTCGCTTGCTGCCTTGGGAACAAGCAGGCTGGGCCCTGATTCCTGGATGACAGGCTGCCCAGCTTTGGCCCCGCCTCCATGCCTGCTCAAGGCCTATCCTGTCCTAAGGTTGTTGCAGGAGCAGCAACCACTGCACCCCTGTCCTCGCTGAAGAACAGGATGATACTGTAGGCCTAAATCTGCCTCCTTCCTATAGTGGGTTGAATAGTGTCCCCTCAAAAGATATTCCAACTCCTGATCCCTAATCTCTGATACCTGTGAATGTGACCTTATGTGGAAAAAGGTCTTTGTAGACATCATTAGCCTAAGGATTTTGAGATGAGATTATTCCGGATTGACTGGGTGGGCCCTAAGTCCAATGGCAGCTGTCCTTATAAGAATTAGGCAGAGGGAGATTAGAGATCCTGAGACAGAGGAGGCCATGTGAGGATGGAGGCAGAAATTGGAGCCATGCAGCTCCCTAGCCAAGGACTGCCAGGAGCCTCCAGAAGCTGGAATAAACAAGGAAAGAGCCTCCCCTAGAGCCTTCAGAGGAAACATGGCCCTGCTGACACCTTGATCTTGGACTTCTGGTCTCCAGAACTGTGAGACAATAAATTTCTGTTGTCTTAAGCCACCAAATTTATAATGATTTTTATAGCAGCAACAGCAAACTAAAACATCCCCTAATTATGGGTGTAGGATCCAGGAAGCAAGACTGGCCCTACCCTGGATTGAGAGCCTGATCCTGGCCAGCCTATGGCCTGGCTGTACAGCCCCTCGTATGTACCAGGAACCCAATGCCACTGAGGGAGGGACTGGGTGGAACAGGAGTAAACTGAATGCAGTTGACTTAAAAGGTGGCATTCAGGGACCCACCATTCAAATCCTCCCTAAAGTATTTGTTAGCTAAACCTTAGTTTCCTCAAGAGACAGAGACCACAGTGGTAGTTATTAGGATCTCGGTAAGAGAATAGCATGCTGGGAAGCCGGAGATTCTGGAGCCCTTCTGCCACAGACTGGCTCTGTGACCTCCAATGCCTGCCTCTATGTGAGGGGGCCAATGTGTCCTGTCCCTGTACTTCACAGCACTGTTGTGAGAATCAGAGGGAGGAGTATAGGTGTAAGCCTCTTGCAAACTGTAAAGTAGTTCATAAACCCCAGATATTTGTATTATGATTTACACAGTGATTATCTGTGTCCCAATGAATTTATATTCTAGGCCATTTGAATGTGCCTTTGTGTAACTCAGCAGGGGGTGGCGGTGGGGAGGTGGTTTCCAAGTTACTTATCTCAAAGGGAGTCATGGTTGTCACCTCCGGTGACTTCTGATAGCCCAGATCCTCACCAATTGATTGATTGATGGTGTGTACCTTCATGTGAGAGAGGGCAAGAAAGAGATGATGAAAACTTTCGAGAGCTTTTGCTGAGTTTGTATGGATACATTCTGACTTGTGCTGTGTCTAGTGGAAGTTCTGCACACATCGCAGATGGAGAAGAAACCCTGTAGATATGGCAGCAGCCTGGGTTGGATGGTTGGAGAAAGTCGTTACATCTGTCTGTATCTGGCACCTTTATGCTTCCTGGGGTGGAGGAGGAGAAGAGACCCAGGATTCTCCAGTGACTCTCCTCCAGGTCTTGGCATTGTGAGAACATAGTTATCTTCCTTTGTAAGACAGTCACCAAGCCCAATTGATTCCATTTCCTCTATCCATCCCTTTCCCATGTCATCTTTCCCAGCTACTATACTCCCTTTAAAGACAGATATGGTGAATGATTGTGCACCCACAGCCTAATGCACAGTGCTAGGAACACTGTCCCTAATCTCAGGAAGTATGGAATGACTCATGCTTTATCCTGGAGATGAAGAAGCCCAACTGCTTCCAGAAAACATAAAGGAGAGAAGGGGGTGTGGTGTATCACTACCTGTGTCTAAAAATCTGGTGACTAATTAATATATAAATGCTAAGTCACCACAAATGACAGGTGGACTGAAATGATTTGGGGAGGGGAAGAAAATCACAGACAGTCCATCTCTCAGATTATTGAGGGAAACCAAAAAGTGGAGTATGCAGGGTTGCATTAAATGGGGGAATATAACCAGTGGGAGCTGTCTCGAAGGTCTTCCTGTCTAGTTCGGTCAGGAAGTAGAAGACTGTGGGTGGGATACATGAAGGACCGCCATGGGGCGTTGAGAGTGTTGTCGCTGGAGCCATCAGATGCGATTTTGAATCTAAACTCCGTTGCTAGCCTTTATGTGACTGGGTATGTCACTCTTCAACCTCCAGTTTCACATCTCTAAAATAGAGACAATAATATCTACCTCAGAGGGTTGTGGTAAGAACCAACTAGATCACAAGTGAAAGTATCTAGTGGTTTCTCGCACTTATAACACATTCAGTCAGTGTAAGCTTACTATATTATCTCACTTACTGGGTTGGGCAATGCACTCTTCTGAACCTCAGTTTCTTCATCAGTAAAGATGGAATACCTGAGGGTGTCTGGCACCCAGCTGATGCTCAATAAAGGTTTGTTTTTATTTTTAACTTTTTAAAACTTTTGAAACAATTTTAGACTTAAAATTGCATAAACAGCCCTGGCCAATTTGGCTCAGTGGTTAAGATAGTCAGCCTGTGGTCCACAGAGACCTCGGTTCGGTTCCTGATAAGGGCACGTACCTCGGTTGCGGTTTGTCCCCAGCCCTGTTTGGGTTGTGTGGGAGGCAGCCACTTGATGTGTCCCTTTCACGTCGATGTTTCTCTCTCTCTTTTCCTCTCTCTCCCTCCTACTCTGTCTGAACAAAAAATGGAAAAACGTCATCATGTGAGGATAAAAAAATTGCATAAACACTGGAGAGTCCTCCTTATACCTTATACCCAAACTTCCCCTAATATTAACATCATACATAATCATAGCACAATGATCAAAATCAGGAAATTAACATTGGCACATATAATGCTGATAACTAAACTGTACATCTTATTCCTTTGTCCTTTTCTGTTCCAGGTTCTAAATCAGGATTCTGTGTTCCATTTAGTTGTATCCCTTAATTTTCTCCAATTTGTGACAGTTCCTCAGTCTTTGTCTTTCATGACCTTGACATTCTTGATGAATACTGGTCAATTACTTGGAAGAAATATTTCTCAATTTTGGTTCACCTGATGTTCTCTTATGATTAGATTGAGGTTATGCACTTTAGGCAGAAATACCACAGCAATGATGTAGTGTTATTTTTTTGTTTTGTTTTTCTCCTTTATTGTGACTAAATAACAAAACTTACCATTTAGACATTTTTATTTTTATTTTATTTAAAAAAAATCCTCACCCAAAGATATTTTTCTATTTATCTTCAGACAGAGTGGGAGAAAGGGAGGGAGAGAGAGAGAGAGAAAACTATGTGAGAGAGACACATTGACTGGTTGCCTCCTGCAGGACTCCTGCCAGGGCAGGGACCAAACTGCAACAGAGGTACATGACCTTGACCAGAATCTAACTGACAACTCTTTGGTCCGCTGGGCCAACGCTGGGCCAACGCTGGGCCGATGCTCTAACCGCTGAGCCAAACCAGCCAGGGCTATTTAGACCATTTAAAAGTGGCAGTTAGTACACTCACTGTATTGTACATCTACCACTTCCATCTAGTTCCAGAACATTTCCATCACCTGCCCCACCCCCCAAAAAAACCCTTACCCATTAGCCATACTCCCATGTCTACCTCCCAGCCCCTGACAATCACTAATCTGCTTTCTGTCTCCAAGGATTTGCCTATTCTGGACATTTCATAGAAATGGAATTATACAATATGTGGTCTTTCCTGACTGGCTGTTTTCACTAAGCATCATGTTTTCAAGGTTCATACGGGTTGCAGCATGAATCAGTACTTTATTCATTTCTATGTATGAATAATATTCTATTATGTGGACAGACCACATTTTACTTTATTTTCTAATTCAACAGTGAAACCTGGGATGGGCTCCGCCTGCGGGGTGAGGGAGAGTGAGGAGACGCCTGCGACTGGTGGGAGTACTGTGAGGTATGGGGAGAAGGGCACACTGGGGAGTACAGGACTGTATTTACACGGTGCAGACAATGCTTATGGAGGCCACTGTAGCGCTGTGGACTGTCGATTGCTTTGAAAGTTTCATTTGTGGAAAAGGACAAACAGTTATTCATGAGGAAGTGGAGATGACCCAAGGATGGGAAGGGAAACTCTCTCTGGGAGTAGAAGAGCTAGTTCTCAGCGGCAACCACGGCCCCGGGAGGCCTGCCCAGAGGCTGGGGCTCAGACTGCGGTGGTCTCCCGGGGAGCATGCTCAGGAAAGGGCTAGTGCTCCGGGGGTCATGTGCTCATTGCTTAAAGAGAAAGGGGCGCCTCCCGTTAGGTAAATATAGTAGTTGCAAACTTCTATTTATAAAAAAGGTGTGCCGAGGGGGAGGGCAAACATTTTCATTTCCTCAACTCCGTACCCCAGCTGTTCCTTAACTAGCAGGCCTCCTAGGTTTCCCCGAGCGGATGTGGGGACCGAACCGCGGGAAGAGGTCATCTCCCAGCCAGCCCCCGCGGCCCGGGACAGCCCCTGCAGCCCCTCAGTGTTCACTGGGGCAGCCGGGGCGCGGCGCTGACCCGGAGGAGGGCGGAGCCGCAGCGTGCGCACGCCCCCGCCCGTAGCCCTGCCAGCCCCGTCCACCCAGCAGCGCGCGCACCGTGCGCGTATTCGAGACTGGCGGTGGCGGCGTGCGCGGGCCGCGCGTGCGCGCTGCGGTGGGGCGAGGGGCGGCGCAGGCGGGAGTCTGTCAGTGACAGCAGGAGGGGGTGGGGGCTGGAGAAGGTGGTGGCGGCGGCTCTTCCGACATGAGGCAGTGGCTCCGTGGGGCTTGGCGGTGGCCGCAGCCAGGGCGGCATCTCTAGCTTGGGAAGCTGCCCGGGGCGGGCGTCCCGAACCGGCATCGCGGGAGCGGGCTCTGCGGCAGTGCTGCGCACGGGCCGCCGGCTGAGGGGCCCGCGCCCTGCCCTCGGTGCCGGGCGTCTCCAGGGCCCTGGGCATCCCCAACCGTTGGGTCGCCCCGGCGGCCAGGAGCCGGTGAGCGGGCGGGCGGGCGGGGCTGGGAGCAGCCCCCTCTACACGGGTCGCGCAGAAGAGGGTGGCTGCAGCGCCCCAGGCTCCACAAACTCGCTGCCCGCCTCCCGTGGGGCCGCCGAGCGCGCGGCGGGACGGAGGGGTCCGGCCGGCGGCCTGACGCAGTGGAGGCGCCGCGCGCAGCGCAGCATGAGGGGCCCGCCGCCGCCACTGGGAGAGCCGCGTTTGCCAGAGCGGCTGGCGGCGTGAGAGTGCTTCGAGCCGGACTCCCCTCCGCCGCTGCGGCGGGCGCAGCAGGCGAGTGTGCGCTAGGGGACACGCCGCGGGCTCGGGCGGCGCCGCGGGCTCGGTGACCACCGACTCGCGGACCCTGGGCACTTTGGGCCCGTCCCGGGTGGCTGGGGTCGGCCTCTAGGTGGGACGGTGGAAGCGCTGATTAGAGATTACCGCAGTTTTATGAGCATATGGTGCTTTTGCAAGCAAACCGCTGGGGCCGCCACTTAGGAATGGATAGAGCTCGTGGCCTTCAGGTGCATGTATCTGGATGGGAATAAACACCAGCCTAACTCTGCTTGTCTCGCTGACAGGTAGCGGTGACCCCAGCCCAGGGTGGCTACGAGCGCGCGGCAACATGGCTTCCCCGCCCCACCAGCAGCTGCTGCAGCACCATAGCACCGAGGTGAGTTGTGACTCCAGCGGAGACAGCAACAGCGTGAGGGTCAAAATCAACCCCAAGCAGCTGTCGTCCAACAATCACCCCAAACACTGCAAGTACAGCATCTCCTCCAGTTGTAGCAGCTCCGGGGACTCAGGCGGCGTCCCACGGAGAGTGGGCGTCGGAGGCCGCCTGCGCAGGCAGAAGAAACTGCCCCAGCTGTTCGAGAGGGCCTCCAGCCGGTGGTGGGACCCCAAGTTCGACTCCGTGAACCTGGAGGAGGCTTGCCTGGAGCGCTGCTTCCCACAAACCCAGCGCCGCTTCCGGTACGCACTCTTCTACATCGGCTTCGCCTGCCTGCTCTGGAGCATCTATTTTGGGGTCCACATGAGATCCAAACTGATTGCCATGGCAGCCCCTGCTCTGTGCTTCCTCGTGGTGTGTTTGGGCTTTTTCCTGTTTACCTTCACCAAGCTGTATGCCCGACATTATGTGTGGACCTCGCTGGTTTTCACCCTCCTGGTTTTCACCCTGACCCTGGCTGCCCAGGTTCAGGTTCTGACGCCCCTCTCAGGACGTGTTGACAGCTCCAATCATACTCCCGCAGCTAAGTCCACAGACATTTGCTTATCTCAAGTGGGGAGCTTTTCCATGTGCATTGAAGTGCTGTTTTTGCTCTACACAGTCATGCACTTACCTTTGTACTTGAGCTTGTTTTTGGGAGTGGCATATTCTGTTCTTTTTGAGACCTTTGGCTATCATTTCCAAGATGAAGACTGCTTCCCCTCACCTGGAGCAGGGCCCCCGCACTGGGAGCTGCTGAGCCGAGCCCTGCTCCATGTCTGCATTCACGCCATTGGGATCCACCTATTCATCATGTCCCAGGTGAGATCCAGGAGTACTTTCCTCAAGGTGGGACAGTCCATTATGCACGGGAAGGATCTGGAAGTGGAAAAAGCTCTGAAAGAGAGGATGATTCATTCTGTGATGCCAAGAATCATAGCTGATGACTTGATGAAACAGGGGGATGAAGAGAGTGAGAATTCTGTGAAAAGGCATGCCACCTCCAGCCCCAAGAACAGGAAGAAAAAGTCTTCCATACAGAAAGCCCCTATAGCATTCCGCCCATTTAAGATGCAGCAGATTGAAGAGGTCAGTATTTTATTTGCAGACATTGTGGGCTTCACCAAGATGAGTGCCAACAAATCTGCTCACGCCCTGGTAGGTCTCCTCAATGATTTATTTGGTCGCTTCGACCGCTTGTGTGAAGAGACTAAGTGTGAGAAAATCAGCACCCTGGGAGACTGCTACTACTGTGTGGCAGGGTGCCCTGAGCCCCGGGCTGACCATGCCTACTGCTGCATCGAAATGGGCTTGGGCATGATACGAGCCATCGAGCACTTTTGCCAGGAGAAGAAAGAAATGGTGAACATGCGTGTTGGAGTTCACACGGGGACTGTCTTGTGTGGTATCTTGGGCATGAGGAGGTTTAAATTCGACGTGTGGTCCAATGACGTGAACTTGGCCAATCTCATGGAGCAGCTGGGAGTGGCTGGCAAGGTTCACATTTCTGAGGCCACTGCAAAATACCTAGATGATCGGTATGAAATGGAGGATGGGAGAGTTACTGAACGCCTTGGCCAGAGCGTTGTTGTTGACCAGTTGAAAGGTATGTGTATTTCTTTGCCTAGTCATCTCACTCCCCACTCCTGTTTGTGTTGAAAAAACAAAACAATCTCTTTCCAGTGACAGTATCTGGACTTGTTGTCTGGGGATACCTTACTGTGGGGACATCTCAGAGCCTGAGGACTTTTTCTCCAATGAGTCAAATATCACAGATCTTTTCACACTGTGACAGTGCTGACCTATATGAGACCTTTAGGAGGAAGGAGAACTTTGAAAATGTATGTCCTTGCCAGTTGGCTGTTAATATTTCTGAAATTCTGGGGGCAGGTCTGATGAATGTCAGGGTACGGAAGCCCTGCAGTCAGAACTTTGAAGCACTTTAAGAAGTTGCCTTTCCATTTCATTTGGTTGCCCTTAAGCCCCATTAAAACGTTTCCCTATGCTCCTTTCCAACAATGTGAAGAAGAAAACCTTTCTCCTCTTTAGGCCTCCCTTTGCTGGGACAAGGAAGTCAGCTCAGCCCTGTAGGACTCTGAGAATTAGATGGAATCATATACCCCGAAGTGCACACTCTTTGCCTAGGTCTCTTTTTTAAAAAAAAAATGTTTACAGTTTCAGCTTTCAACTTCATTTAACGATGCTTTCTTATCATGCTATTTGTAGTATTCATATAGCCTGCAGCATTTTAGAAGGTTGAACTTCTCAGGCTGCCAGGTGATTTGAAAGTGATCAATGCTCACAAAGCAGTGTTTAGACCTCCAGCCCCTCAGATTAGTATCTGGTCCTTGGTCCCAGTCTTAAGCTCCTTACTGCTATTCTTGATGTTTTCACTGGGCTTCTTTAATTTTATTTTCATATAGGACAAAAATCTTTGAGGTGTAGGAAGCGATATTTAAATAAGTGGGGCCAAAAGTAAAGATTCTAAATAACACTTTTTAAAAACAGTCCTTATGTTTTGCTAAAATCTTCCAGATTGAGGGGAACATCTATTTAGGAACTATGTAGAGAAAATCACATTGGTTTTTAAAAGCCTAAATTTGCAAAGCTATATTATATGTTTTATGGTGCCCACATGTTGCATAATCACACAGTGAAAAGCTCTAGGAAAGGGAATCCTCAGAAGGAGAAGTAACAGCTTAAATCAGAGATGGGAGAAGTAATAGTGTAAATCAGACAGTATGTGGTTGAGTTTGAGGGCCTGAATAAGTTCTCAGCCTTGTCACAGTCTTATATGCTCAACTGACATTTTCTTTCTCTGCTTCTGATCAGAGTTCCCCATGTCATTTACTTATTGGTTATCTGGTGAGGGTGCTTTATCCTTCTCCTGATTTTTCTTTATTATATTAATTTTGCTAGTAATTGAATAATATGGATGTAGTTGAAAAATATTTTCACCTGATAATTACCTCTACCTAGAGAGTTTTAAATGCTATATTGATGAGGTCAGAAACTATTCTTTGCAGTTCACTTGAGAGATTCTGCTGTGACAAGTGTCTTTCCCTGTAGGAGAATGGCTCTTGCTCTTGACTCTGAAAGTGCCACTGGAGTGGAGTGCAGATGTAATTACTGCTAAACGTTTTGACATCTTTAGGGTCCAAGTGTTGCAGGCTCTGTTCTCAGAGATAATGGGACAGATTCCAGAGAATGGAGCTGTGCTGTAGTATATAAAATTAAGTATGACAATGATAACAGTTCTGTAAATGGTACTTTGAACAGGGTATTACTTGAATTTAAAAAATAAAAACAGATGTAATCATTAAGTATGTCTGAAAATTGCCAAGTCTTTGACTCTTTGGCAATACCCATCTTTGTTAATTTGTGGGTAATTTTATTTTTGGTTTTCAGATCAAGGGTCTAAAGACACAGGCAAAAAACATGCTAGAATGGCTTGTTGATTTTTTTAACCTCAAATAGTCTAAAATTGGTAAATTCACTTTTTCTCTAAATTGTGTACACTCTATATTTGTAAGGAAAGGTTTTACTACTGGATAAAGGTAGGGAAAGACAAGGCTTAGCTAAACCAGTGACTTCTTTATATGGTATTCCCTCCTTTAACTGTTTCCCTGAGACCATGATTTTTGCCGTATTCAGCTTATTTTGAAAGCCTTTGTGGACAGGACTCTACTAATCGAGGATGTCTACACAACTTCCTGTCCCTTTTTGAAATTGCACAGTTCAATTCTCCAGACATTGTACAAATTTGCTAAATTGAGATGATCACATGGTGTATAGAAGACCCTTTCATACATGGTGTTAAAGTTAAATATGTAAGATTTCTTCATCCTGTCTTTGGGTTTGTGGTAGATATTTTCTCTCTGCAATGTTGGGCATTAGCCTTTCTCTCTCATCCCCTTTTCTGATGATGGGGTTAAAAATACCCAGTAGAGGGCTCTGTAGAAATGAACATGGGTAAACTGGGGATTCCAGAACTAGCCTGGCAGTGTGAAAGGATGCTACTCCTCTAATTTATCCGAATAGGCTTTGTGAAAGGGCAGACTTTCATTATTTATGCACATTCACTCACTCTTTGGAAATCTTTATTGTGCTCTTGCAACATGCCTGCCACCAAGAATGCGCAAATGGAGTCATGACAGTTCCTGACCTCCATGAGCTCACGGTTATAAATGAGCACTTTAGAGAGGTGCATGTACTTGGTTGGAGTGGGTGTTAAGATTAAGTAATGGCTCTCCAGGTAAATGGAAGTAGAACAGTTGGTGCAGTGGGAATAGCATGGGCAAAGGCTTGGGATTGTGTTTCTTGGTGGTTTGGGCAATTATAAGTAGTTCATTAGGATAAGGAATGTTGTGGGTCACATGGGAAGGAATTTGGATTCAATCCTGTAGGTAATGGGGAGCCACTGATAGGCTTTTATGCAGAAGGCTTAAGTGATCTGATTTGAGAAAGTTTACTCTTTCAGTTTTAGGGACTGTGTTAGAAGGGTGTGAGACTGGAAATTAGTGAGCTGTTTCAGTGAATCCCAGGAAGGATTGATGGTAGCCTGAACCAAGGTAGTAACAGTGGCGATGGAGATCATGGGACAGATATGAGAGTAGTAAGATCAACTTGACAGGACTTAGAGCCATATTTAAATAGTCAACTGGGGAGGCAAGGGGCTTGCTGGTTTGAAAGGCAAATGGCATTTCAAGTTTCTAGAATTTACCTGGGGACAATTTAGAATCAGGAGTGGGAGAGAGGCCTTTGAAGCTTCTATGGTATGGATGGAGAATGCAGGATCTACTTGCAGAACATGAGAGGCCAGAAACCCCTGGCTTGTTCACTCATTCATTCAACAAATAATTTATTTTGTGCTGGGCACAGTTCTAGGTTCTGGGGATACAGCAGTGAACAAAACAGACAAATATTCCTGCCTTTTGGTGCTTCCATTCTAATACCATAGTCAGACAGTAAACGAATAAGTAAAATATAAAGTTTGTTTTGTGTTAAGTTCTAAGGAGAAAATATAAATCAGGAAGAAGGATAGGGAATGTGTGTGTGTGTGTGTGTGTGTGTGTGTGTGTGTGTGAAATTTTAGATTGGGTGACCAATCACTGAGAGAGAAAGTAGAAAGAATTTTCAGCATAAGACTAGGATTTTGGAAATGATCCAAAAAGTGAGGGGCAATTATTATTAAACTTATTTTTTTTAATCATCACCCGAGGGTATTTTTCCATTTATTTTCAGATAGAGTGGGAGGGGGGAAGAGAGAGAGAGGGATAAACAGTGATGTGAGAGAGACACATTGACTGGTTGCCTCCCACACGACCCAGACCAGGGCTGGAACCAAACCACAACTGAGGTACGTGCCTTTGACCGGAATCAAACTCAAAACTCTTTGGTCCACAGGCCGACGCTCTAACCGCTGAACCAAACTGGCCAGGGCGAGGGGCAATTATTATTAAAAATAGGGAGAAATAATCTGATTTGAGTGATGGGAAGAAGGGTCCCTCCAGACCATTTGGGATGAATCACTGGACCCTGTTCTCTTCTGCCTTGGGTCACAAGCAAAAAAATGAAGCATTTTGTCTAGAACTGTTGGTTTTTCCTATTATAGGTAGAGAGTCGCAAAGAATGTGAAACTGTCAGAGAATACCTACAGACATCTTATTTTCCTTCTCTTAAATATTACCAGGATAAAACAAAGGTGCTCAGTCACTCCACCCACAATCATGTTTTTATAGAAGAGGTGAGCTCTGCTGAGGTAAGAGAGGCTCATTCCCTTGTAATAGGCTGGAAGGTCAAGCCTCCCTCCCCCAAAAGCTGATGGTGGTGGCAGCAATAGCAAACCAGAGGGTGGAAACTGGGACAGGACAGATTTGAGAAGGTGTTGGAAATCTGGGACTGGGATGATAAGGAATGGCCCTGACCGGCTTATGAGCCTTTTTCCACAAGCCAGTGGTTCTCAAACCTTCTGGTCTCAGAATCCCTTTTTATACTTCTAAAAATTATTATGGAAGCTAAAAAAAACTTGTGTTTATGTAAGTTATCTATTGATATTTACCTTATTAGAAACTGAAACAGACTGAGTTTCAAAAATCTTTCCTTGACTCTTTTAGAAATAATAAGCCCATTGTACCCACTGCATGTTAATATAAGTAACATAATATATGTATAATTTTAATCCTTAACTGAGGATATATATTTATTTTTAATCCTCATCTGAGGATTTTTTTTCCCATTGATTTCTTTTTAAAGATAGAGTAGAAGGAAGGAGGGAGAGAGAGAGAGACATTGATGTGAGAGAGACATGTCGATGGGTTACCTCCTTCATGACCCCGAATGGACCCTGCAACCAAGTACGTGCCCTTCACTAGGAATCGAACCTGCGACTCTTTGGTCCACAGGCCAATGCTCTAACTGGTGAGCCAAATCAGCCAGGGCTTGAGGATATTTTTTCATTGATTTCTTTTTAGAGAGAGTATAAGGGAGGGAGGGGGGGAGTGAGGGAGGATGGCGGAGGGATGGAAGAGGGTGGAGGGAAAGAAGAGGGAGAGAGAGAGAGATCTATTGGTTACCTCCTGTATGCGCCCCGACTGGGGCTGGAAA